GACCGAAGCAAACTGGTCATGCGATCATCTTCTACAGGAGAAAGCTCAGAGTGGCGTTTGTCCAGCAGGCCAAATTAAAATGGAGAAGTGGATGTTCTTCAAGAAGAGAAATGGAATGAATTCCGTGTAACAGCTGGCATGAGTAAGGGGCTGGAATCTGCTTATAGTACGGAAAGAAGGAAGTGCTTCTCATGAAAACTCTGGCCACCAAAACCAAAATATTCTACCAGAGTCAGAATTCAAATATGCAATTTAAAATTTGTAGTAGTGTTCAATGACTAGTGGAGAGTGAAAACAAGGATGCGTTAGATCTTGGCCCCAGAGCATTTTTAGTGGCACAGGTACTATGATGGCACTACACAGAAGAAAGTCACATTTGGAACTGTTGGTGCTGTCACTTCTGGTCCTGGGGAGTCTGACCATGGTGAATGAACCACAGTACCTTGTTGATTTCCTTAACCCTGCTCACACATTTATAAACACTCCTTTACTAACACCTCTTTCCTTCACCTTCTAAGAGTAGCTATTAGTGCCCTGGATAAAGAGAAGGAGCTGATTCCGTGCCCACTGTAGGCCATGAGGTCACATGGGAGGCAAGTGGAGCATGTGCCTTATCCTCCCTCAGCCAGGCTCAGCCCTTATGACCAAGGACTTCTCATAGTGCACTCAGCTTCCTGTGCCAACTATCTCTCCTGTGTTTGCTTGTCTTTTTAGATACAAACAGATCCCGAGTGCAAGCACATCATGTTAGAAAAATATCAGTCAGTTCCAGAGGCCACTTAATACATTTAGAGGTTGAGTGTGAGTAACTGAAAAGCTTCTCTCCTCCATTTTGTCAACAGACAGGCCCAGTCCATCCCCACTCTGCACCAGTCTGGAACGTTTGTGCAGGGAGGGCTTGCTCTCCACTCTTTCTTGGAATGGACTTGCTTCTCTGCATTGCTTATGTTGGTTTTAAGGTTTCTTTCTCTGCACTGTGTGTGTGTGTGTGTGTGCAAGCGTGCATGTGTGTGTGCATTTGTGCATGTGTGCCTCACTCACCAGGAGTCATTAGCATTGTTTTTTGAGATGGGGTCTCTTGTTGGCCTGGAGCTCACTGATAAGGCTAGACCGGCTGACCAGATGGCTCCTGGAGTCCTCTCGTGTCTGCCTCCCCAGTGCTGGGATTTCAAGGTTATGCCTCTGTGCTGAGCTTTCTTTTGTGTATGTGTTCAGGCAATTGCACTCATTCTAGCATTGCAAGGCAAGCACTTCAGCAGCTGAGGTATCTGCCTAGCCCCTCAGGACTTTCTGAGGAAGTGTTCATACTTGGGAACTGTGGCCTGAAGCATGGAATGCTTCCCACATTGAGCAAGGCTGCTCTTGTCTTTCAGTTTCTCTTTCTACAAACTTCCTTTTCTTATCAGGTCTTTCAACTTGTTCTTCTTTTCAGCTCCTCCTCAACTCTTTCTTCATTTCCTCAGAAATAAAATTGAAACCATTCTCCATTCCTTCCCTATTCCTGGAATTGTAGAGTCATGTCTATAGGTTTTCATATCTTGACTTCCTAGAGCAAGCTACCCACTTTTTTTGTTCCATCATTCTTTATATTTTCATATCATCAAATGCAGTTTTATGTTTCTTTCCCCCAATTCTTTTAGTATACTCTCTGGTTCTTTAATTACTTCTCCTCATTTGATTGACAAGGCAGCCAGCCCACTTATGCTTCTTATTTTTTGTAAACATTATTAGGTAAACATTGTTAAACCCGATTCTCTTTTCCTCCTCTGAGGTTTGAGGTATAGTTCCTGTTGGTTTTACTATCCTTATTTTTCCTAGCAAATTATACAAAGGTTATTATGTAAATGTTATTAGATTTATCTGGAGAATTTTCCCCAATAAATATGTCTTATCTTCCTAATACTTCAGGTTCCATCTTGCTATTCTAGTGTAGGGGTAAGAACAGACAGAAATATACATACATATGTGTGTATATATGTATATATATGCATATTTGAGAAGTTCATTCTGGTATGTTATCTCTGTTATAATCATCTCCTTTCTTCCACTCTACAGATTGAGGTCCTCTTCTCTAGACGCTTCAGTTCCTGAGTTAGAAATACTTCATTTGTCCAAGGCACTATCTGCTAGCTAATGAACAGGCTGTCTTAGTTACTTTTGTATTGCTCAGAAGAGACATCATGACCAAAACAACCTAGAAAAGAAAGACTTTGTAGGGGGCTCACAGTTCAAGAGGGTGAATTCATGACCATCATGGTGGGGAGTATGGCAGTAGGCAGGCAAAGATGGAACTAGACCAGTAGCTGAGATCTATCTCGACATGCATGAGGTATGGAGAGGGAGAGGGAGAAGGAGAGGGAGGGGGAGAGGGAGGGGGAGAGGGAGGGGGGCGGGGGGGGGGGGGGGGAGGGAGGGGGAGAGGGAGAGGGAGAGGGAGAGGGAGAGGGAGAGGGAGAGGGAGGGAACGGGCAGGCTTTTGAAACCCAAAAGCTCACTCCCAGTGACACACCTCGTCCAACAAAGCCACACCTTCTAATCTTTTCTAAATAGTTTTACTTATTAGGGACCAAGTATCCAAACACATGAGCCTTATTGGGAGCCGTTCTCTTTCAAGCTATCCCACAGGTAATGAGTTTAGAAAGCACTCCACTGGAGTACCTGAGATCAAGATGTGAATGACACTTAGAAAGGGGGAAGGAGCCTGTCTGATAAAAGAAAACTCATTAGGTGCAGAGCTGAGATTCATCATATTATAATCAGTAGTGATGCCCTGCAATGGAACTTACTGAAAATTCAAGTGAAAAACACTTTTAAAAGCCAGAATATCTAAAGCAACAAACAATTTGCTTAGCACACAGTAAGTGCTCAATGAAGTCTGTTGTCATGGATGCAGTGGTGCATACTTGTACCACTAACACGTTTGAGTCTGAGGCAGTAGGGAGATCTGTGTCATGTTAGCTAAAGGATCCTTAGGTCTAATATGTAAGTCTCTTAATTGTATCATGAGATTATGACAAGTGATTGCCCTTTGTGACATATGCCTTTGTCCACACACACTTTACGGAGTGGCACATACGACTAGAGTCCACATTCCATAGGGCAGATCAGTGAACTGGGAATTTAGGTGAGAGTTGATGTTGCAATGTCGAGTTGAAAATCTACAGGGCAAATCACACAAGCTAGAAACCAAGAAGGGCTTTAAAATCACAGTGTTTAGGCCAACTCCTTTCTTTTAATTTTAGTTTAATTTTTAGTTATGTGTCTGTGTGTGGCTAAGTACACAGAAGTCCAGTTGCCTGTGGAGGCCTGGCTCCTGGAACTGGGTTACAGATGATAGTGAGCAGCCCCATGTGAGTGCTGGGAATCATACATGGGTCCTGTGCAAGAGTAGTACTTGCTCTAAACCACTGAGCCATCTCTTCTGCCCATCAAATCCCTGCTCTGAGCAACTTTGATCTTCAGATGTCCAGTAGAAAGGACAAGCCAGAAGGCCAATTGGAAGGAATCTCTAAATCTGGCTATGTCCAATGTCAGTCTTGTCTAAAAAGAAGCTTCCTGGTAGGGCAGGATAGTCTTTGACCAGGACACTTGCAGCTCCCAAGGCTGAAAAGGCTGAGGCTCTAGCACAGACAGGTGTCACAAAATTTTGGAAAATAATCAATCTTCAAAGTTTTTGTAATACTGGATTTTTTTGGTATAAACAAGGTCAAATACATTTATTTATTGTAGAAAATCTACAATGAACATCCTCCAAGTGAAGGCTATAGTTTGCACAGATCCTTGGTGTATATAATCAAATAATGATATATGTGTGTATGTCTGCTCGTGTGAGTTTATATGTATATGTGTGTGTATCTGTGTGAGTCTGTGTGTGTTGTTCTTTGTGTGTCTGTGTATCTATGTAAGTCTGTGTGTATGTGTGTTTCTGTATGTGTGTATCTGTTTGTGTATATGTCTGTGTTGTGTGTGTTTTTGTGTGTGCATGCATGTATGCCTATATCTCTGTATGTGTGTCTACGTGTTTGTGTGTCTCTTTGTGTGCCTCTGTATATGTGTATTATTGTGTGTGTCTGTGTAAGACTATATGTTTGTGTGTCTGTATGTGTGGTTTCGTATGTGTATTTGTGTATCTCTGTGTTGTAGTTGTCTGTCTGTGTCTTGTGTGTTTGTGTATGAATGTGTGTACGCACATGTGTATGTCTGCTTGCATCTGTGTCTTTGAGTGTATCTGTTTCTCTGTGTGCCTGTATGTATCTTTGTGAGTCTGTGGGTATATTTGCTTCTCTCTATGTATTTGTATGTGCCTGTGTATTTCTGTGTGTATGTCTCTGTGTATGTCTTTGTGTGTGTCTATGAGAGTGTGTGTCAGTCTGTGTGTCTCTATGTGCATGTGTATGTGTTTCTTGTATGTGTGTCTATGTGTTTGCATGTATTTGTATTTATTTCTGTGTGTCTTTGTGTCTATGCTTGTATGTGTGTTTTTGTGTGTCTGTGTCTATGGCTCTGTGTGTGTGTGTGTGTGTTTGTATGTGTGTATGTTTGTGTATTTTGTGTGTCTGTGTGCTTGTGTAACTGTGTGCTATGTGTGTTTATATATACACATATGTATATACATATATCCATCATCTTTCAGAATAAGTGTCTCTTGAGGGATCCAGAGAGATCAGAATTAATCCCTTTATTTTCAGCCTAGGGAACTAAGGCAGAAAGAAATGCTGAGCCTGATTACAGTGTTCTTTTCAAATGCAAAACATAAAAACCCTGGATTGTAAATGATGAGAATTGGGTTGATTTCTGGTGAGGTATTTGACCCAAGCCAGACAATAGTGATTGATTCTGTATCTCTCTAGCATTGCTCTACAGCTGAAGGGGCACCTGATTAATAAGTTTAGAATAGATGGGTAGAAGGTTGTAGGGGCAGGCTCTGCTTTTGGTCATGTGTGCAGAGTATCTGATAATGGAACCCTCTCCTTTGTGTCTGAATCTAATTTCTCTGACAGACAGATCAGTTCCAGCAGTAGATGGTGGAGGCTGAGTGAACCTGTTTTGGAGTATAAAGGAATCAGCTGCACTTGCTACCTTCAGTTTGGGGATGAAGGTAATTTCTAATGAAAATATTTAAAGCTTGAGAATTGATGATGGCCTGTCAATGTGAATGCTATCAGAATTAAGACCAATATGTGACTATCTCCAAAATTGCTTCCCAGAAAGGTAAAACACTTTCTTTTAAAAAGGATTTATTATTATTAAGGGATTTGTTTTGATTTAATCATGATATGAGTGTTTGCCCCTATATGTGCACATGAATGCAAGTGCCTGCAGAGGCCAGAGGCTTTGGATTTCCTGGAGCTAGAGTTACAGATAGTTGTGTGTCACCTAGCACAGGTGTTGGACTCACCTAGCACTGAGTCCTCTGCAAGAGTAAAATGCACTTTCAACCGCTGAGCCATCAGTCTAGCCCCGTATTTATTATCTTTATGTGTGTGTGCTTCTGTGAGCTTATATGTGTGTAACACATGTGTGCAATAACCTACAAAGGCCAGAAAAGGGCACTGGAGTTGTACCTATAACAGGTTGTGAGAGGATCCCTTGGGACTGTAGCTATAGGAGGCTGTGAACTGCCATGTGGGTGCTAGACATCCAACTCCAGTCGTGTGCAAGGGCAGCAAGTATTCTTAGCCGGGGAGCCATTTCCTGCTCCTCAAAGCATTTTCCTACATTGATCCTTTTCCTTGGCGACTGAGTTGCTAAGCAGAGGATTCAAAACCTATGACTTCAAACTTGTCATATTTTTTCCAGCAGATAAATTTCTTAATTCACTTAAATAATTACTTATATATTGAAAAATATTGAACCCACTCCAAGGGAGCATGGCTGTGCAGTGACTGCAGTACTGCCTTCTTTATTTACGTCTTTATAGTAGTCTCCTGGGAAGTCTTTGGTGCCACGGGTTCACAAAGTATCATATAACTTTTTCCTTATTCTTTCTAATCTCTGAAGGGCCAAGCATCAGTTCTATTAATCAATTAAATAAACATTTGACCTAATGTTTTCACATGACTGTGGCTGGGGCTGGTATACATATTAAAGCTACTGAATTTCCCCCACAGGGTCAAGTTGTGACTACAGACAAATGCTTTGTCAGAAAGTGGAGTGTCACAGTTCTTCAGAAGCCAGCCTTGAAAATTAGGGACAAGTCAGCTATACATTCCTATTTTTTTCTTTATAATGTGTTATGGACTCATTACCTGCCCACAAACCCTTAGCTCTTTACTCATGAGTTCTAGTTTAGTTTTAAGATGGGATCTTACAGTCCAAGCTGGCCTGGAACTCAATGTTCTCCAGACTCAAGCTCCTAAATGCTGAGATTAGAGGTAGCCTGGCTTCTCCTCAGAACTTCTACAGTATCTGTGATATTTCTCAAGAGTTTTAGCTTGAAATGAGCTGTTTCAGCAATTAAAACAATTTTAAAACTCATCAATTTTAGCATTTTCTGTTTTGTTTTGGACAGGGTTTTTTTTTTTTTTTTTTTTTTTTTGGCTGTGCAGCTCAAGTTTCCCGTAAACTCAGGGTTGTTCTGCCTCAGGCTCCCGAGTCCAGCAATGCAGTTCTCATTCTCCTGAGTTTTAGGGTTACAGTCCCAGCACATGAGGTCATCAGTCTCCTGAGTACTGGGGTTATGGGCAGGTTCCACCACACATGGTTCAGTTGCAGCAGTTTCTAGGATTCCAGAGCTATATTTTCTTTTTCTAACATTTCAGGAACTTTTGAACAAACCCGCACTTTCCTCATTTCTAATTTGTGTGTTTTGTCTGATGTTCTATGCTCCCTTTCATCTTTCCCTGGGGAGCTCAGGACACAGGGCATGCATGTACTCTTGCATCTTCCTCCCTGAATTGCTTACAATCCATTTGAATGTTTTGTATACTGTTTTAAATATTGCTAAATGAAATTTCTTCTTCTAAGGGGGCAACCGTAGGGCATGGTTGTATTTCAGCCTGAGCTGGAACTGTAAAATTTGGCAAATTAGTGAAGTAAAGGCCAGATTCAGACAGCAGAGGGGCTCCATATCTGAAGAAACAGAGGTTTTTGACTTAAAGTTTCCCTTTGCAATGCCATGGAAGGGTGATTTTCGTTTACATGGTGCTTAGATTTCATATTTTTCATTTTTATTACAAAGAGCACTACACAAAGATTTTACAAAACTCAGGACTTTTGAGACATTTGGTGAGAATTTGGCTATGTTTGAAGATGTTGCCACCTGTGGGTCTTGCTCTGTCCCCATTTCTGTGATGTTTTCCATCTGTTTTGAGGCAGATGAAAAATTGTTGCTACTGATGTAGGTAACACTCATAACTATCAGCTCTCTTCCCAGTATATGTTGACAGTTACTGGGAGAAATGCAAGAATCTGCAGTCATTCCTCGATCCCTATGGTCCACCTACAGATACAACAAATCCATGGATGTTCAAGTCTCTTACATGAATTGCCATAGTATTTGCATATAGCCTACTTACCTCCTCTAAAATACTTTGGATCATCTTGAAATTATTTACAATACCTAAAATACAAATACTATACAAATAGTTCTCATAACATCCTGCTGAAGGAATAATGATAAAATGGTCTGTACATATTCAGGTAGACACAATCTTTCCCCCAATATTTTTGATCTATACTTGGTTGGATCTATGGATGTGGAACCATGTACAGAAGGGTTGCTTGTACACAAACTCTACTAGGCACCCCACACTCTCCCTTGCAGGTAGTTTATAAGAGCACATTAAAGGAAAGACTGTGTGTTACTCACCTCTCATTCTTAACCCATGTTGCTAGACTGCTCAGAAAACCTTTCCAGTGCTCTTAGTCAAATAAAACCCAAAGATTATGTCCTGGTATTTTAGACTTCCAGTTGGCATTTATACTTCAAAAATAGTACTCCTTCTCTATCCCCTTACACATGACCTGTACTTTAGACAAACTGGGTCACTATGGTCCTTACCTACCCCACAGTACATTAAAATCTCTCACTATCATATGTGACTAGGGATATGCTTTTCTTGTTTGAAATCTGTCATAAGTGCTATTCTGTGATTGGTGAAAATATCCCCTTCTTGACAATATAAGCAGATAGTTCCACTTACCTGCTGCCTCCCCTGGTGTTAGGAAATCAGGCCCAACAGCTACAGGAACCCAATAGGTATAAGTGTTATAATTTTTATGTAGTTCTAGGTACAGGGGTCTTAACCACATAATTGTTATAACTCCTTTAAAAACAGTTTTTATTAGCACACATACACAGATAGGTTTCACTGTGATATTTTCATATATGCATATTATGTATTTTAAGAAAAAATCATATTCATCTCTATTGTGCCCTTCCCACTTCTATGGATCCCCTTCTTTTTCAAACCAGTCCCCAAAGAACTTCTCTTGAGTGGTCTTCTCTGGCCTATTTTTGGCAGAACAGGCTGAGGTGACAACACGAAGAAGCAATGCCAGCAGAAGCAGCCCAGTGGCGGCAGCAGAGTTAGTGTTGACAGGAGGATAGTGGCTGAGACGTTAGACCAACCAGCTGCTTTAATGACAGCAAAGGAGATTATGGGAACCATAAGCTGCTCAGACAGTTGCAGGGGTGGAGCCATGGAGACTGTGAGACTCTGCCAACCAGGAGGACAGGAGCAGAGCTACTGGAATTTGTGGCCTTGGTAAGTGGTAGAGGTGGTTGGCAGGCAAAGCGGCAAAAGCAGTCTGGTAGCAGGGAGCAGAAGAGGTGGAGCTGCAAGCCTGGTAGTGGACAGCAGAAGTCTCAGCAGCAGCAAGAAGCATGGCCATGGTGGCAGCTGCAGCAAGCTATAACAGCAGCCAAAGGCTGAGGAGGCCTGAGTATGAAAGCCCCAAAGCTGTAATTCCAGTTATTATCAAGGTCTGGGGATCTCAGCCTAGATCTATCTACACAGGACTTACCACACTTGAGGAACCTTTAGGTCCTTGTGCAAAGATCTATGCAAGAACTGACACTCGGAGGGCTAAGAGTTTTAGCAGTAAAGACCTGCACTAGTCCTGTAACCCTAGAAGAGCCACTTGCTTCTGTCCCCATCGGATGCCTCTACTTGTTGTTATCAAATGCAAAGGGTGCAAAAGCTGCCAGAGACAATGCTGTAAGAGCTTCTGCTGGCCTACTCACTACTTATGTCCAGCTGAGTTAAAGGATCCCAGCCAGCTGATTGGTAGCATAGCACAGAACTTGCATGGGCTATAGCTGGCCGACCCTGCTTGCTACATCCTCAGCTATGTAAGGAAGGCAACCTGGGCTACACAGGACCCTGTCTTAGAACAAAACAACAAGAAGTTAAAAGAATTCCTTAAAGTAATGAAAAAAATCCATATATCCAGATTCTATATGAAGAGAAAATGTTCTTTAAGAATGAAGATGAATAAAGGTATTACCAGACCAAAAAAAAAGGACTCAAAATATTCCTTACTGCCAGAATGCCAAAGGATATTCCTGAGGCTAGAGATAAGAGATAGTAGATAATGGTCATATGCCCATAAAAGAGTAAATAACATTTTAAAAAGCCAGCACAAGAGAATACTTTTCTTTGATATTTCCTCTTAATTCTTTTCTATGAATCGTAACTCTAAAATGGTAGTTATAGCTTGTATGACATAACAAAGTCAGATGGAATACACACAATAATAATAATGCAAATAATGAAAGGATAATGCTCACAGAAGATGGCTTCAGGGTTTCTGTATTTTACATGAAAGAGGCCATAGAAAATATAAGTAGACTGTGAAAAACTAGGGGTTTATGATCCACTCTTACAGCAATAACTAAAATACAATACAAAGAAATATAGACAATTTTTAACAAGATGGAGCAATGGCCTGGTTTTATTTCAGCAACTAAAAGTCAAAAGTAAATATCTGAATGTCAAGTTCATATGAAGGGTCAAGTGATGAAGGACATGGGGATGAATGAACTAAGCTATACAGTTGCCCCAGCTTATTTTCTAGAGTTTTCAGGCATTGGCTCAGGAAAGGGGAAGTCAGGAAGAGCCCAGCTGCCCATCTGAATTGAAGACTCAAAGCTGA